GGACCACACTTTCAGAATCATTGACCTAGAATATTCCAATACTTCCTAACCTCGATTCAGAATACACACTCCTGGCAGACTCTCACGCATGTCTTCACCATGCTTCTGACTTTGTCCCTCCTCTCCCCCGAACCCACCACATCCTTCTCATCTCCTGTGGCACCAAATCCAAGCACCCTTGTGTGACATTCAAGATCCTATAATATATGCCATATAACCTAGACCCATGCGGGCTTTCTGGTCATATTCCCACCTAGTCCCCTTCATGTCTACTACCACGACCCAGCAAACAGACCTCCTTCCGTATGCTGCAGGTCCTACCTCTGGGCTCACCTGGCCGCTTCCACCCTGCTCAGTCATTGTTTATGGGTGGGTCTTGTCTTCCCCCACTTGGTCACATACTTCCGGTATCAGGAACTGTGTCTACCTCACCCATGTACCCAAGGCCCCTGGGAAAGGTAAGTGCTTGGGAAATAGTCCATGAATGAATGAATTATTGAAAGGATGCTAAACTAAAAATAGAAATTATTTCTCAGAGAGAATTCAAGTACCTTCTCTGCAACTGGAATTTGACGTTGCTTTATCTACCCCCCTATTTTGTTAATTTCTGGGAATATATACTACTTAAACATAAGAAGAAAAGTCTTTGATTTGATTTAAATTAACACAAGAACTACATAGTGAACTAAACATAGACTGTGTAGCGAGACAGTCCTGAGTATAAATTCTGATTCCACTATTGATTTGTGATGTTGGGCAAGAATTTGGGTTCCCTGAGCCTCAGGTTCCTAATCCGTAAAATAGGGCCATTTCTACCTACCTCATAGAATTATTATGAAAAACTAGTGAAACAATATAGGTAAGTTGCTTGGCACAATGCTTGACCTATAGTAGGTTCCCTGTAAATTGTAGTGATTTTTAACAGTAGGTTTTCCAGGCAAAATAGAGATAGGTGATTTTGCAGTAGAGGTTTTTTTTTTTTAAGGAATTCCTTTTTATTTGAAAAACAGTAAGAGACAAAACATTCCAGGATCCTTTCCCCAATGTTAATGAATCAAAGATATACCAAATTCAATTTTAAAAAATTACCTCAAAGGACTGGTAAGCTTGATTTATGTTTTCTTTTCCAGTCACTTTTATTTCACAAGCCCAACATTTCCATTAAAATCCTATTAAGTAAAAACAGGGTTTTACAGTGTTTGTGATATCTTGGATCTCAGTGTGATAATTGGAATTATCTTGAGCAAAGATACCATTTCTCATTGTTTTATTTCCTTTTATGCATCACCTGTATCTTTACTGCCTTCTTCCAGTTGAGTAAAACCATGTCCCCGTGAGTTTGTGATTTTGAGTCCATGAAAATATCTGTGGCTTTGAAGGCCCTTTCATCTTGAGGTTAATAATTGGGGTTCAGGAAGGAAGGGAAATATTAGTCAACCAGCAAGTGCAGCAAGCTCTGAAGTAAATGTGAGAGGCTGTCATGCAGAAGAGAAAACAGACTCATTCTGTGCAGCTCTGGGGGCAGGACAGGATGTAGGCCATGGACACTGGAGGGGACATCCTCTGACACGCCATCAGGAGAACCTTCCGAGCTGAGAGGGCCCCTGGAGGTATGGGCCCTCTTTGTAGACACTTTGAGGAATGTATAGAGGACTCAAAATCAATGGTAATCCCACAACTCAGGGATAAACACTACTAATGTTTGGATTTATTTTCTATAGTATCTTCCCATGGCCTTCAAAATGTTCTCCTGAGAGTAATTTCTCATGGCCGTGTAATATTCCATACTGTCCTTGCCCCATAATCCAACTAGCCATTCCTCCTCAGGCAGGCACTCAGGGCCATCACCAGGGCAACCCAAGCTAAGGCCACCTCCCTGGGTGACCTGCTGATTACATGACCCACTTATCTATCAAGGATTAAAGTTTCTTCTTTAAAATAATATCAGTGTGAAAATGATCTGGAACTAGATAGTAATGATGGTTAGACAACATAGTGAATGTAGGAAATAATAATGAATTGTATACTTTAAAATGGTTAATTTTATGTTATATACATTAGACTACAGTAAAAAAAAAAAATAGATGACATCATGGGACAGAATGACCTCCAAGACTGCTTCTAGCTGTTACACATTGTTCTGAGCGGGAGCATGTTACTTAGGGGATTGATCACCAGCCTCTATTTAGCCAAAAGTGGAGGCATGGGCCCTGAGTGCCTGCCTGAGGAGGAATGGCTAGTTAGATTATGGGGCAAGGACAGTATGGAATATTACACGGCCATGAGAAATTACTCTCAGGAGAACATTTTGAAGGCCATGGGAAGATACTATAGAAAATAAATCCAAACATTAGTAGTGTTTATCCCTGAGTTGTGGGATTACCATTGATTTTGAGTCCTCTATACATTCCTCAAAGTGTCTACAAAGAGTATACATTACTATTATAATATTAAACAATTTTAAACAAAAAAATCATAGCAGTGCTTCAGATTTTGTAACTGCCAATCTGAGTCCTGATGTCTTTTAGAATAATGGAGTAGCAAATGGACAGAGCACTCGGTAGGAAAACAGGTTTATAATTCAACAGGGCAAAGGGGTACTTCACCTGGCTGTGCCTTAATTTCTGCATCGAGATTGGGGCATAAAAATAACAGTCAACTTCCAGGGCTGTGTGAAAAGCAAATGAGATAATGAATGTGGGACAGTCCTGCTGATTGAAGGGTTCTTGGAGCTGTTTTCATTGCCACAGAGTGTATTCAAGCTGCACGTTTCCAAATCTCTTTAAAACTTAGTGAGTGCTTATAAAGTCAGGGATTGCCACTTACCCAGTAATTTAAGAGCTAATTTCTAGTAACTGCTGCTTTTTCTCATCTTTCTTCCTGTAACCTTAATGTAAAAACATTTCATTTTATCTGAAAAGTAACCACCTGACTTTTATTTACTGTCTCAAGTTCAAGGAGATGATGGTAAAACCAGTTTAGCTGAAGGAAAATTGCACCCCAACCCTCCCTCCCCTCCTCAGCCATGTGCTTCTCCCCAGGAATCCAGCCTCTCCCTTTGTGGTAGGGAATACTTGTTTCCCCAGAACCATCCACACTGTTGAGCTTTAAAAGGGGTTTTCCTTTGCCCTGCTCTGGTTCTGCCCTCCACCTCTCCTTGCTTTGGGACCAGTGTCAAGACCCACTTAGGAGGAACCTGGAACAGAACTGACAGGTCATTTTATTCACACTAGGGGTTTCTCTTTCTTAGAGGCCTGCTCCTTGGACCAGTATGAAGAGAAGCCCATTTTGACAGGACTAGCAAGCATGCTGTTTCTCTATCGAATCTCTTTTGCATTTAAAAGGGCATACGGGGGTACAAAGCATCGTAACCTTGAAAGTTTATTTGAGGCTTACCTTGTTATTAAAAGCAAACTTTCCCAATTCAACAAACTGAATGTACCCATTTCCCAAGCACCTACTCTGCCAGGTCCTGTAGAAATAGAGTCAGGTAAGCTGTGGCCCGTGCCGTCACTGAGCTCACAGACAGTGAGAGGGACTGCCATGTACACAGATGCAGAGCGGCTTGCAAGAGGGGCAAAGAAGCGACAGTCATCAGCACGGTCAGGGATTCATCAGAGCTGGTGTTGGAAGCAGGACAGAAATGTGCCGGGCAGCCAGGGCCAGGGGAAGGCCTCAAAAGCTGAGGAAAGGAAGTACGAAGATACCAAGATGGTCCAACTTGGTGACTGACAATGTGCTTAGAAGTGGGAGCACCAGGATGAGATGATTTAATAAAGAAAGAGGAGAAAATGGCCTTGGTATTGAGCTCAGTACCATGAGACGTTGTCAAATTTTCTTGGACCAGTTGGGCTATTTATTGACCATGTACACTGTGCTGAGGGGTCTGTCTCAGAAATAGACACAGAGATGGGAAAAAGTTACACGGGCCCCACATCAACTGTGGTCAGGATGGGAGACAGGAAAGTGAGCTGAGCTGCAAGTGCAGACAGAGGAAGGGGGCCGGGTGGCCCTGACTGTGTCTCTGGCTCCAGGCCAGGCCAGTGGGCAGCAGGGTGGGGTGGCTGGGAGTGTGCAAGGCCTCAGTGATGGGAAGTGAGGAGGGAAGAGGAGAAGTCGGGAAGGGCCTTAAATGCCAGAAAGATGGGTACAGACTTCACTGTGGAGGCTCTCAGAATCACTGAAGAACAACAAGTGGGCAGCCCGACAAGGTTTGCAGTAAGAGGGGTGCGTCAGGTCTGGTGTGGGTAGGCAAGGCTGGGGCAGGAGGTGCTGTTGAACACTGCAGAGAGACATCCCCAAGGCTAAGCAGGTGGTAATGGGGTATGTAGGTCTGGAGGTGAGAAGTGCATTCCAAGCTAGATGTGGATATTGGAGAGTTATTAGCCATGAATTTTCTTGAATATCAGAATAATTTCAGAGTATAATATCCAGACTAAGGAATCACAACATTACAATCATATTTTTTTTTGTATGAGTTCCAAATAAGAAAATAGTTAAGCCAGAAAACGTAATTGTGCCTATTTCTAGAACTGGGTAACTGATGTATCTTTGCAAATTGTTCGTTGAATGTGCCTATGGCTTCTTGCCAGCCCCCAATGAGATTTTTATATTTCCTAATTATTCAATTACTACCCACAAGTAGGAGTTTGAAATCAAACCCAGATTGCTCCATAATAGAGTACTCTCTTGAATTCTGAGTACAGCAAAGTAAGTTATCCATACTGGGAAACATGAGTTTCCAGAGGAAGCAAACCTTTCCAGGGCTGACTCTGTCCTGAGTTCAAGTCCTGACTTTGCCTCACACCAGCGGTATGACCTTGGGTGGGTCACTTCTCCAAGGTCAATTTTCTGGTCTGTACCATAAAAATAGTGATAACACCCACCTCCTGGGTTGCTGTAAATCTAGAAGAAAGGAGAATATTGCAAGGAAAAGTGCTCTGTTTGCCACCAAGCCTGCTCCAGATGTGGTTCTATCATTAATCCCTTGTGTGCTTAAGGTCTCAGCAGCCCAAGAAGCCAGTAGCCACGAATGAAGAGCCTCCTAACAGTGAGCTGGCCAGCCCCTCGGAAGGCAGTGTCGACCCAGAGGCGCACCTGCCCTCCATCTGCCTCAAGCAGGTGTTCCCCAAGTACGCAAAGCAGTTCAACTACCTGCGCCTGGTGGACAGGTTGGCGAACCTGTTTATCCGGTTCCTGGGGGTCAAGGGCACAATGAAGTTGGGACCAACAGGCTTTCGCACCTTCATAAGGTCAGTGAGAGTGGCCCCCTCTGGCTTGGGATTCGGATGGGGTGGAGACCAGCCCCCCAACTGGCTGGTCCAGTCTCCCTGCCTGCTCATGGGGGAATCTGTGGTGCTGCATCAGTGCCCCACTGGGGGTTGGATTGACCCAGGAACTGGCAGTAGGTCTAGCACATAGTAGACGCTTGTTTATTGCATGAATTAATGACCATTAGGAATGTGAGAACATTCACACCCTGATGCTTGTGGTTAAAAACCAGTTCCGTGCTCCCGTTAACTAGGTCCTTAATCCACATATCCAATTATTTAATTGCCCCTTGGACTCCGAGAGACCTTGTGTGTCTTAAACTGGGGTGGTGTTTTCCCAGTGGTATGTGGCTGTGTGCTGAGCATATGTGAAGCCACAGCAAAGAAACATCTTTCCAAAGTGTCAATTTCAGGAGCAAAAAGTTAAATAATTCAGTTGATAAATAATTTAAAGTATTTGTTCTAATTTAAAAATAACCTGGTTATATTATAGAGTTTAATACAAAATTTGCATGAATTTTGAAGATAAAACATGAGATAAAGGAATTGTGTTTTTCTGCAGCTTACAAAATAAACCATTGCCACTTTATCTCCTGAGATTTTTCATTAACTTGTCTCTCCCCCCAGGGCAATTTGGGACAATACAGGCACACTTACTCACTGTGTAACCCTTGGTAAATTAATAACCCTCTCTGAATCTCAGTGATAAGCCTATATAATGGGGATGAAGCAATCTACACTCAGGACTCTGTGTTATACACTTAAAAGGAACTACCAGCCAGCCTCCAATGTGGCTGTTGTTTTTCTCATCATTTATTTCAATATTTCTACCTTGCACCTCAAAGTCACACTCTTCATAGTTCTATTGACTAAAGCAAATAATTAGAAGTCTTGAGTCAGAGCCATTTTTGTTATATACTTTTCTCCAAATGAATTTTATAAATTTGAACTCTAGCCTCTGATATTCCTGATAGTAAACAGAAGTATCAGTAGGAATGTTTGCCATTTCAGTAAACCTGAAATAGTATCTGCATGGTGATTTTGAGAAGGGCTTTGTGTTCGTTTCAAGGGAAAAGTCCAGTGGAAAGAGCACAGGCTTTGGGGTTTTGTTTCAGAGCCACGTACATGACTTCATAGCTGTGTGGCTTTGGGCAAATCCTTTAACTTCTCTGAGTCTCAGTTCCCTCATCTGTAAAGTGGTAACAATCTCTCCTGCTTGGCAGAGTTATTATTATAAGGTTAGGATGTAATATATCATAAAGCACTTGGCCCAGTGCCCAGTTCACAGGAGCTTTTTATTAAATGAGAGTCTTATGATTATTATTTCACTAGGCAGTGGGAATTTTCAAGAATGTCAACAGGCACAAGTTATTTCCTTGAGAATACTACCTAATGTAATACCCTCTGACTCATTTAGGACTTGCTTTTGACTTGTAGTAGTAGATACTTATCTATAAGTGATTTAATAGTGAGATCAATTTTCTCTCATATAATAGAAAGTTTGGCAGGTGGGGCTCTGGGACTGGTTAATGACTCCACAATGTGATCAACATCTCATATTTTGTCTTTCTGCTCACCTACCCTAAGCATGTACTTCAAACTTTAGGGTTACCTTATGTCACAACATGGCTGCTCAAAATCCAACCATCATGATAGCATTCCAGGCAGGAAGAAGGAAGAAGGGAGGAAGAACAAAAGTCCTCTGTCAAGATGTTTCCTTTTAATTCCTAATAATATTCTACTAAAAGATATAAAAAGAGGGGGAGATTGGAAAAATAGTGTACCGTAAGAATCACAATCTCTGTTGCCTCCAGGGGCAGGCAGGAAGCATAAACAAGCCAGAGGGTAGGATCTAGAAGGATGGGGAGGGTGGGGGGCTGTGGCAGCCTGAGAACACTGGTGAAAGGAAGGGCCTGCTGCTGGCCTGGTATCACCAAAACTTTTGATTTTTTAAGAGAAACCAGAAATGCTGATTTCTATGTAAAAATACATGTGAATCATTGCTGGCAATTCAGAAAATAACTTTCAAACCCTGTGGAGGTTCAATCAAAGTATGACTACCCATAGACACCACCAGTGTGTGACCTCTGGTGTGAGAGGCCAAGGTACAGATGAAGAGGACCCCTATGTTCATACGTGGTTTGAAAACAGACTGGGGCATGGTTCTAGTAAAGAAGGTTCCTAAAATGCTCTCAGACTGGAACTGGATGATGTCAAAAATATCGCTACAAATCTGTCTCTATGTGATAGGCTTTGTGATTTTCCATCTCTCTGTTCTCTGTAATTAAGGGCATTTGCATGGAAAACCGATTTTTGTGAGGTTAGGGACTATTAGGTCCTGCCGCCACCATTCCCGGTCTGTGGCCAAGCCCTGTTAGAGCAGTGGTGGCCAGAAGGGAGAACAGTGCTCGGAGTGGAGAATAGGCCCCACCCAAAGACACTAAACATCTATGGGTCCCCCGCACCCGCCCAGCAAGTGTCCTGAGCAATTAGCGGTGCCGGCAGACATGGCGAAAACGTTGCCCAACGGTTAGTAGATTGTTCCTTTTAAAACGTATCAAGAGATCCCAACAGCACCTTAATCGCAAAAGACATTGTCTGCTTTTAGATTTGTCTGAGTGTGTTCAGTCGTGCCAGCTAAATTTAACAGCAAGCGTTTTCACTTGCTAACAACTATTCTCTCCTTTCCACTTTGGTTTAAATTTTGCTTCTTATGAATTAGTAATATTTATGCCATATGTTAAAACTAACCAAGTGCCCTTCTCTGGAGCACTGAACAAGAGACATATTTGCTGGCCAGATGGATACTCTTTGCCGAGCTCCCACGCACAGGGTAATGGTTGAACTTGGCTTTTGTCGGTGCTGCCCACTCTTCCCCTCCAAGTTCCTTGAGGACAACTGGAGGGAACAAAACAATAAACACTCTGACTGAATTTATTTTCAGTGACCATCTCTCATAATGTGCTGCATAGATCAGCAGTTTTAGGAGTGAATTATGCTAATGCCAGTCTGGCCATATTCTATTTTTCTTTTCCGCCAAGAAATGAGAAATAATGAACTGTCGTTCTCTTGTCTAGACTTAACTCATGTAACCAGCTTTTCGTGTTGTTTCCTCAGGAGGCACATAATGGCAGCCCGTATTACCATGAATTAAGCGCCTCTTCTCTCTTTCTTATTTTTATTTCATAATAATTGCTGGGGTGTGGAGACTTCTCTTTCTCTGAGAAATAGAAATGATCTGATTCTTCAGTTTGACAGCTTTCTTTGAGGGAAATGCGTTTTTATTATTTTCCTTCCATTGGATCACTAATTTGGGGAGCATTCTATGTAATTCACTAAGAACACATTTTCCAAATGTGTGCTACATCAGAATTTGACATCATGTTGCACATGCTGCATTTTCCATTTCCACAGCCTGAAGATTTCAATGTTTGCCCAAACCAGGTTTATTTCTAGGAAATGGAGGCAGCTCTCTGCACCTTAGTGTGTGCTTCATGTGAGGCCACTCCGCTTGGAGAGCCCTGCTCACTGACTTCATAGCATTTTATACTGGTCTCCTTTTAAATTAGAGAATGTTTTTTTTTTCTTTTTCCTTTTTTTCCCCCCTTCCACTCCCTTTTTTCTCATATGAAGATATTAATATGCTTCATAATGGGTAGCTGTGGGGGGTTTTATTCTCTGAGAGGCAACAGGGGGTGTGAGAATGTTCTGGAATAGAAGTGTAAAGGACCTTGCCTCCCTCTCTGTAATGAACTCCTCAGGGCCTTTGAAAATCCCCCTGTTCAATGACTGTTTCTTTCCAGCACTCCTGGAGGATTCTATGCCTGGAATTTCAATAGCTTTTCAAAATATATACCTTATAAACCAGTGTAGTGTTTTTTTTTTAACCCATAGATGTTTAGATAGTGGGGTTTTTAAAAAAAACAAAAACAAATATTGATCATTTGTTAGCTTTAACCTTATAGAAACCTCTCTAGGAAAAATGAGCTTTTTTGCTTTCACAGAGAAGGATGACACAAAAGAAATTCTATAAATAGGATTTTATGGGATAGAAAACGTTGGTTTCTAATTTCCCATGACACATCAGTAGTTGTTGAGGGGAAATGGGGATGATGATTTCAAATCTTTCTATACTTGGGCTCCTAATGAACTTCAGTGATTTGTGATTCTCTCCCATCCTATGTGTCCAAATTCCTTTGATTCTGGAAAACAACAATATTTCTTCATCATGGAAGAAAGCTAGGAGCTACCATTCCCACTTCCCATACACCAGGCACTGAGTTAGTCCCTAAAATAGCTTTGTATGGTGAGTAGCCTTATCCTGGCTCTGCAAATAAGGACATTTGGAGGCAGAGAGCTTCAGTGACTCGCTCAAGGTCACCCAGCAAGGTCAAAATTCAAACTCATGTGCATTTGACCCTAAAGCTCATTTTCCCCATGTACATTTTTAGCCTACCCTTTCTTAGATATTTCTGGCTTCTCATTTTGCCACATTTCCTGGACGACTCTTCCACTGGAGAATTTATCCTTCCACTCATTAGTCATTTGAGGAACTGCATCTCAGGGCATAAGGGGAAACTCTTCAAATGCTTAAGATCCACCAAGACTTGGTGGCTTTAAACCCAGACTCTGAGATCACTTTCACCCTTCAAGAGCAGCACCCAAGACTGATTCAGCTCTGTATCACTCACTGGGCCCACACCACCCACTACGCATAGTGGACACAAAATGAATTCTGTACTGCCTGGGTGGACGGATGTGCTGACCCTTGGAGGCACTCCCTGTTTGAGTCCACTGAGAATGTCTGGTGACCACAGGACAAACCTAGGCCAACCTGTCTTCCCCCAGATTTACACCTCAAAACTTCCCAGCAGGCCCTCTCTACAGGTTCCAGCCTTACTGGGCCCTGCCTGAGACTTTGTGCCTTGAATTCTGGGTTCTTCCTGAAGCCCTGGGCTCAGCCACTTCCCCGCTTCTCCCCCAAGGCTCCCAAGTCCGCTACTCTGTCCTCCAGAGGAAGACATCCCAGCTGTGTGATCTTGGGCAAGTCACGTCCCTTCTTCTGAGTCTCAGCTCACCTGTCATTGAAATGGGACTAAGAATACCTCCCTTGTAGAGTGGCTATAAAGATCCAGGGAGCTCATGGGCAGGAAGGGGCCTGACACAGAGATGGTGCCCAAGAAATGCCTACAGAATCCAAGTTCTTTTAAAGCATTTCCTGCTCACTGCAGCCAGTGCAGACCCCTCCTTCCCTGCCTGGTAGCAGATGCTACCCTCTCCTATGTTTGCTGGCATCGCAAGGGAGGATGAGTTACCTTGGGAAAGGGATAAATGGAGAATTCTCTTTGGTAAATTACAGCTCCTGCTAAAGGTTTGACACTTCTATTTTCTACCTGTCAGAAAAAAAAAAAAACTATTTACCAGTGGTCAGTTTGGTTTCCCTTTTTATACTCCATTAACCCACAGAGTGAGCCAGGCAGAGCTCCTGTCCTGTGGGGAGAAGGTAATCCAGAGGACACTGATAGGGTAATTAGAGAAAACTGATGGCTGTTCTTAATGAAGCTTTGGAAATGAGCAGTGCAGGTTGTTAGAATACCTTGGGAGAGACTGGAGCACTGTCCCCAGAGGAACCCGATAGAGATAGCCATCCTGATGACAGGTGACGTGAAAAGCTCCACGTCCACTGACATGTTGTTACTGGGGCTCAATAACTGTGCGCTGATGCTTTGAAGTCTGCCACAGTGACTTGTGATTGAAATAGGAGCAGGAGCCCAGGAGGAGACAGGATGTGAATTGATGGCCTGAGAAACTCCAGGGGAAGAAAGGCAGGAAGGTGGGTGGGGGAGCGGGCAAGCGTGCAGGCATATAAGGAGCACCAGCTAATGTGGGCACTGTGCTGGGCACACTCCCAGCCACCGTTGTTAGGGGCAGGCATGGGTTTGCAGAAGGCCCTCTGGATGTCCAAATCCTGCTTGCCAGTCAACCCTGGCCTGTGAGCTCCTAAGGGATAATGACCAATGGGAAATCGAAGAACCATTTTATCATTAGCTGAGGTAATGGATGTGGACACGTTTGAAAAGCTGCAAGAAGCATTGAATGTAGTTCAGCCAAACGGATGGCTGGCCCAGAGGTCTAGCTTTCAGGATTCCCAGAGCAAATCCAGCCCCTGTTGGGACTCACCTCCAGCACAATCTGCTCAGAAGGGCGGTGCCCCTGGACAAGCGGAGGGTTGCCCAGTCTGAATAGAGAAGGAGCCCTTGTACCTGGAGACTGACTAGCGAGCTCCATTTCTCCAGAATGGACAGGGCTGTGCGCTGAAAAGTCAGCCTCAGGCAGCCTCTGATGGAGCTGAGATCTTCCAGCCCTGGAAGGGAGGGAGGAGAGATCAGAAAGGGAACCAGCAATCATCACGGGCCATCCAGGTACCAGGCGCCACGCCAGGTCCTTGGCATGCATGACCTCATCTCATCTGTACAGCAGCCATGTGGGCAGGTATGATTGTGTTCATTTTGGAGACCAGCAAACAAAGGCATGGAAGGTTTAAGTAAATTTCCCAGTCACACGGCTAGAAAAAGTAAGAGCCAGAATTTCAGTCCTGGTGTGTGTGATGCCTAAATCATGTTCTTTTCAGTGTACCAGACTGCCTCCCCACATTTCCAAACCAAAAAGAACTGGGAGGTAGGATTCTAAACGCCCCTCCGTGGCTTGGACAGGGGGCACCATTGCTGACGTGGGACTGAAAACCTGGTCATCTTGGCCTCTCTGCACAGGGAAGCACCCAAAGCTCCGAGGCCTCCCCAGCGGTGCCACCCCCACAGCAGGGCCTGGCCAGCCATGCTGTTCCGCTTTGAAAACCTCGACTCCCAGTGGCTGATTCGGGCCTGTGTGAAATCTGCAGGTGACAGATTAATGTGGGTGAAGTGCAGGTGCCCCGAGTTGGGCAGGGACTCGGCTGATGAGCGTTTCCCGCAGGGAGCTGTTTCTGGACAGTGGTGATGCCTTCAGTCTGCATGGGGGACATACCATTTTCACTGGGTCACCTGAGCGTGTCACTGTCATCTGCTGGCGAGTGCTGCCCTGGGGTTGGCTTCTCCCCTCCTCCCAGAGACCAGTGGGTGTGAAGCTGAAGACATACACAGGGTGTAGTTTTGAAACGTGGCGTTCCCGTCTCCCTTTTGGAGCAGGCAGAGAGCACCCTTGGCCTGGGAAAGCACAGGCTGGTGCCTGTGACTGTAACAAAGGCTGCCTGGTTTAGAACTGAGGAAACTGAGACTCAGAAAGGGGGAACTGGTTTAACCAGAGCCATTGGCTTCTAGTTCAACTCAACACTTCCCATCCTGAAGTCCTTGCTCTTTCCAGCTCTTTAGAACCCTAATTAACCAAATTACAGGAACCCACAGGATCTAACCTCGACTTACGTTTTCAGCCTTCTTGCCCACTGTTCCTGCCGTACACCCTTCACTAGCCCCAGCTGTGGGAAGGGAGGGCCTTCCCGGCCGGGAGCACAGCCCAGGCAAATGCATGGTGGTGAGACAGAACAGGCCGGGTTTGCGCAGCAGTAACGTGTCCCTTCCCGTCTTGGGCAGGAACTGCAAGCTCAGCAGCAGCAGCTTGTCCATGGCCTCCGTGGACATCCTCTACATTGACATCACAAGGAGATGGAACTCCGTGACCCTGGACCAGCGGGATTCAGGTACCTGATGACTGGCCCCCGCTGTGTCAAGCGGGAGTCTGGGCGGGGATGGGCGGTACATTTGCTGTTCCTTCCTGTTAAGGGTCAAGCTGGAGAAGGAGGAAGCTGCAGACACCACTGGAGGGACTGAGCTGAATGTGGATTCAGGACACTCTCCTGACTTCTGCTACAAGGCTCTGCCCACCCACATTTTAATTTCACTATTAGAATCCCTTGTCTTTGTTTAAGGCTCTGGTTTCATTGATATAGGAAATGCTCACCCATTTGTTCACCCGATCATCCCTCAGCACACATTTGCTGAGCTGGGCCAGGCCTGGAGTCGACAGGAGGGAACAGTGTCTGGTTCTCCCCTTGGAGGAGTTGAGTGTCCGGTAGAGTTGGGAGGCAGATGAGAATATGGCAAAGTCAGTTGGATGCTAGGATGGAGAGCAGTGAGGAGAGGCCATCTGGGCACCCAGTGGGCACACTCCTAATCAGGGGATGCCCAAGAAGACTTCCTGGAGAAGGAGGAGTGGGATAAACCAGTGAACAGGGTGGGACAGACAGGGGTGCGGCCTGGCTGAGGCATAGACCCTCCGAAGGCTCAAGTAACCCCAGTAGCTTAGATGGGCCAAAGCGACGCAAGAAGGAGGCGGGCAGGGATGGGGCTGCAGGAGCTGCCGAGGCCTTGGAGGCTGAATGACTTTGATCTTGATCTTCTGGATTATGTGAGGCCGGAGAAGGATTCGGGTACAAGAATTCACCTTTGGGCAGACAAATTCCTGGTCTTTTTTCTCACAGAGTGTGTTTTTCTGAAAAGTCATAATAACCATCCTGATGTTTATACAGCTCATCACAAAATTGCCATGTACTTTCATGCATATCCCCTCATTATGTGTCCCCGTGTGCCGCTGCCGTAGGTATTACCATTCGCATTTCGCAGATGACTGGACTGCGACTCAGGTGACTGGGCGCTGGGCCGCCCTCCATTCGGCTGCCTCCCTGCCAGAGGGACACACAGGGTGGGGACGCCTGGGAGCAGTTTTCTCCTGTGATTCCATGGGGGGACATACGATCAGAGGTTGGGGGATCCAGATTAGAACTGGCTATGCCATTTCCTCCCAATGTAAGCTTGTAAAGCCATTTTACCTCCCAATCTCCATTTGCTCTTCTCTAAATGATGCCAACAATACCTGCTCTCCAGGGCACCCCAACGTCTCCTGTGTCAGTGGATATGAAAGTGATTGGAGCCCTTGCTGGCAGTGCCAGGCAGTTCATCCTATTATTGGGCATCACTTGGGGAGAATCCTGGGGTGGGCCTATCTGTCGGCAGGGTGCCCCCTGCCAGATCCCAGTCCCTGCCTGTGGTCTGCCCTGGGCTGCAGCTTCCTGACCACACGCAAGGGCCAGCAGCCCTTTCCTGCAGGCATGGTGCTCAGGCCTCCCTGGCCGACTGGCTTCGCATTTGATAATAATGCGGCTGGCTGCCAGTTATTGGGAGTTTCCTATGTGCCAGGCACTCCGCCAGGCACATCACATGTGCTGTACATGATGTTCTCCTGGAGGTGGATATGATTATCTCCACCATGTAGGAAACAGGTTCAGAGACCTGGCTGGTGGGTACGGCTCTGACACCAAGCCGCACAGTACCCCTTCTGGGTTGCTTTATCCTATCGTTTGGTCCTGGAGTGAGGTGACCACCCAGCTCCCTATGGCTCCCCTTTCTTTAATTCAAAAGCAAAACTGAGGGAATGGCAAGGAGGTGAGCACTCTCATCGCTCGCATCTCTGTGGTCAGAGGCTCTCCCAGCCTTCTCTGGCAACCAGGAGAGGCCTGAGATGAGCGTCTTCAGAGAGGCAGGCAGATTAATTATCATCTTGAGGACCCAGAGCGCTCTGTGACAGTTAAGTGGCGTGCGTTTTGCTGACACCTTCAGAAAGTGAGGCAGCATTTGCTCTGTAAGTTGGATGCGGGAGTCATCGCAGGATACTGTGGAGGGGGCTGAATGAGGGGGGGGGGGGGCAGTGGAATTATTAAATATTGAAATTGATCAGGAGTAGCAGCAGGAAGCTATTTATCATGTTTTATTGCTTCAAACTAGCATTACCATCTGGCCCATTGTTAATTCTGAGTAGCTTTTCATGTTTTGTTTGCCGCTTAAATTGCTCCCTGTGAGCGGAATCCACAGGGGTTGTCCACCACGCAGGCTCAGGAGAGGTTTTCGGGGGGGCTGCCAGGGTCTGTCCGTTCTGCTGACCAAGCTGAGATGCAAAAACGTATATTTTTAGCACACACAGACAGATGAATTGAGGGCTGGGATCTTCCAGGCCTTTCATCACGCCTCCGCCGCTGAGTGTGTGGAGTAATGATCGTTAGCAGTAGCTGCGATCTTGAGACTACCTCCTGTGTGCACAGAGTACTGGTAATTCTCACACCAGACCTTCCAAGTGGGGAATCATATCCCGTTTTACAGATGAAGATCCAAGAGCAAAAGTGACTTGTCTAAAACCCCATAGCCAGTGATCAGCAGAGGGCACGTTTGAACTCAAGCCACCTGCCTCCTGGCCCGGGACACTGTCCCCAATTTAGGGCGGCACCAAGCAGTGCTTGTTCACTGGAGTGACTGGGAGGGAACGGGGCTTGTGAGGCAGGGAGGTGAGAGGTCAGCTCCCAGAACACAGGGCCCGAAGTGGAGTGGGAGTGGTGCCTCGGCCGAGAGCCCATGGACCCGGCCTTCATCCTTGGAGCTTAGGTCCTCTTTCCATCACTCCTGAAGGGAAATAACAGGGTCTGGGATGGATGGGTATGGGGGGCTGAGCACTAAAGCCAGGGAAGAGTCCTTCCGTGCCCGTGGTCTCGCGGGCCACTGCTGTCTCCCCCTGGTGTGAGCCAGGGCCCAGGTCTTGCCTCCTGACGGGGCTGTTCTGACACCCCTGAGTCTCAGGGAGAGGGGCTCCTGAAGTCAGCCACATTCTTAGGACCATTCGGAAAGACACTGGGTAGCAAAAGAAGACATCTGTGGTTGAGTGGCGGTTCTTCCTTTTCGCGGGCATCAACCGAGAGACGAGAGAGTCCACCTTCCTTCTCTCTGTGTGCAGCACGAAGGGATCCCCAGGCCCTCAGTGCCAGTTCCTTCCTGGACAGAGGTGGCGGGTGCCGTGTCAGGCGGGGGCAGCTTTATCTGTGCCCACTGCTGTGGGGCTGACAAGAAAGTCATTAGAATGGTAAACACGGTTCCCCTTCTCAAAGGGCACACACTCATTCATTCAACAAAGGGGCAATGAACATGTTAGTAGGCACTGGGTCCTATGGGAATACAGAGAGAATTATCTATAGATCTTACTCTCAAGAAAAAAATATAATTGAAATCATTACTCAACATCTACTACGTGACAAATAAAAAATGCTCATTATGAATTACATTTAATTCTCCCCAGCCTTGTGAGATAAGGGTTGTTATTCCCATTTGATAGATGAGAAACCTGAGGCTGGAAGAGGTGAATTTACACAGGTGTGTCAGGTGTGACAGTGGGGACCCTGGGACTTGAACCAAGAGCAGTCTGCTGTCCTGCCTTCCATTATTCTAGTGTCTCCAGCCACACAAATGAAAGGAATGTGCAGGTGACAGTCGTAGTAGAGTACAGCCAGCCCACCAGTGGGGGATGCTGCAAAGGAGGGTGGCTGTGAGTCTAAGAGTGTGAACACATACAAAGCGCTTAGCATGGTGTGCGACCCAGAAAAGGCACTCACTAGGTGTTCTGTCTCCCTGAGGGCCAGCATGTGGTCCCAGACCATGTAAAAGCATCTTGCTCAGTGCCCGTGAGTACTAAATGAGTGAATGGATGCCAATATAAAAAAGGTCCCACATCCCCAAAGCAGGGGGTTCCAAGTGTGAGAACTGTGGATTATAGTAGAAGTGGTCTCGTGACAGGGTCTCCCTTTCCTCTTCTTAACGTCCAGTGTAAAACGACAGCTCACTTGGATAAGACCGTCACCCCATGCCCAGCACCGTGTGCTCATGCAGTGCCCCCTTCCAGATGCCAGGCCAGACCTTCCTTCTGTCCTAATGAGACTGGTGCCCACTGGTGCCCGAGACCTTCCTGAACCTTTATATGACCTGCCTGAGGAGACCCTCTTATTGAAATGGGAGAAGAAAAATGGTGTTTAAAAAGATTAGTGAGAAAAAAATAAAAACTTTAAAAAGAATACACACCATGAAATCGAATCTCAGATCATCCTTTTAAATAGGCTTATTTTAAATTGTTCTAGCTTTTTATTGGACCTTGGTGCATAGAATTGGATTTATCATAATTCTTGGTTCATGAGATGGAAGTCTGTCCTGGTCCATGCATAGCCTACTTTTATTTAGTTAGCTTTTTGAGTTAGCTATTTTTACTAATGGAATAAGCATCCACAAACTCACCACCCAAAACAAAAGCTAGGACCTTGACATTAACCCACGCCTAACGCATGGCTCTCCGCCAACACCAGCCCATTCCCCTCCTCTCCCCACCCATGGAATCCTCATCTGCACCCTGTGCTCATTGATCCCTAAATAGGCTTGTCTTCCTCTATGTCAGAATGTCAATGACTATTTAGGAGCTTGATGGAATTTAGTAATATGCAATCTCACACTCTCCAGACGGCCAATGTAATTGTCATTAAAAAAAAAAAATAAAGATTTCAATTTGCAATTCTGGAATTTCTAGCAGAGCACAGAAATCTTAATGAAGGTGTCATCAGCAAAACTGGAGTGTGGTAGCCGTCTTGCTGCCCAGAATTAAAAGAAGACACGAATCTGTCAGGGAAGATGCAGTTATTTCACGTAAATTGCACTCACGAGCTCCTCCTTATCCTGGAGACTCAACTCTTTCCAGAGTGGAATTTCACTTTGCTGTGGTGGAGACGAGGGCAGCATTAAGATCAGGCAATAAAAGATGGTATCCCTGGCATCATCTGTGAGAGAAACATTTCACTTGCAAAGGGAACATCTGAGCCGAGCACCTGGCATCTTGTCCATC